TTCGATTCCTGATACAGTGTGTTCTTTGGTCTTCCTCTTTTCCGTTTACCTACACGATTCCAAGTTTGGGCTTACCTCGTGATATAGTTAGGTGATTTCCGTAATGTCTATTTTATCCACTTCCAACGTCTTCCCCTAATTTCTTCTTCAGATGAAAGTTGGTTCGTTCTCTCCCATGGGAGGTTGTTGCTGATGGTATCCAGTCAACAGACATTCAGTATCTTACATAGACAACTGTTTACAAATACTTCTGCTTTTGTAATGATGGTTGTGGTAGTTCTCCACATCCCAGATTCATAAAATAGATTTGTCTTGACGTTCGTATTGAAGATTGTGACATTGATATTAGTTTTCAGACAGTTTTTTTGAGTTGCATATGTTCTTCCATTGAAGGAATGCTGTCCTTGCTTTGCAAATCTTCTGCATTGGATCCTCCCTAGTTCATCGATGATGCTGACCATGTGCGTGAAACATTGCACATCAATCAGACTTTTCCCATCAAGCGTTATTGGGTTGGTGTTCTCCAAACTCTCTAACACAATAGCATTATCGGTAAACATCCAATCAGAAACTCGACTTATAACTTTTCACTTTCTAAATGTTCCTGACAAAACTCCTATTGAATGCTGATTGGATAAAACACTTCTCACCATTGGTTGCTTTTTTGCGAAGAGTTTTCTTAATCACTACAACAAATTTATTGATCGAGGTATATTGAAAAGAAAGATTCTAGAACATACCAATACAAAAAAAACATCACCATTATTATTTTCATTATTAGATAAGTGTATAGAAATGATAGAACATGAACCATCAAAAAGGTCTTGGGTTCGAATCTAGGGAGGCGGGATAGTGGATGAGCACTGACACTGAGGAGTCCCACAATAGAACGAAGCGACCGTCCAGTGCTTCCAAGTTTTCCATGGTGGTCTAGCTTCCATTGACTGATGAATTTAAGGATTATATTACTAAAATCTCCACGAAACCTCCTCTTGATAAAAATTCAAGTCATGAGAACTTGTATCTTTATTCATTATAGAGTGATGATAAGTCAAATTAAGCTAGACCACCATGGAAAACCTAGAAGCATTGGACGACCGTTTATCCGATTGTGAGACTCTTCAATATTGGGCATCCACGATCCCGCCTAGCTAAATTAAAACCCAGGACCTATCAGTCTTGAGCGCAAGCGCTTAATCTCTAAAACCACTGAGCCGGAATCCAACAGTGCTAATAGGATGAAACGACCGTCCAATGCTTTCAGGTTTTCCATGATGGTCTTTCTTCAATTAGCTCATAATTTTAACTATAAAATAAAAGAACTTTAAATAGAAGAAACATATATATAGTTTTTTTTTCTTTTCAAATCATTCACAATAGGGTTTTATGCTTTTCTTTTTATTATTTGGGTCATAGAACTATTGACCTAATTATAAACATACATATATGAATGGATGTATTTAGATATAAGGAGATATATATAGTCTCCTTCTATCCATCCACTAACCAAATATGGATTAACTCATTCATTGAATGACCTATATTCATTGATAAACTATATAAGATAAATCGAATTCATCGTAATATTGTTGAATAGATATATCATCTTTATAAACTATCTAAATATATTATGTTAAATCAAGAAAATATATATCTGTATATTGTAAGCAAAAAGATGGATAGTGGTTAGCAGTAGAATCCAGTTTGACACAAGTTTTGTCCTAGTTGTGACTCGTCAGATAGATGTAGCTGCATTTCAGAGTTGATGTTCACTCTGGTGATGACAGGTTCGTGTCCCAGAACGAACATCAACTGTGAAATGCAGGTTCATCCAGCTGACGAGTCCCAAATAGTACAAAACACGCGTCAAACTGGATTCCACTACTAGACACTATCCATCTTTGCTTATCATGCTTGTGAATTAAGGCTATATCGAGGCAACACGCACAGTATGCATATATGCCAATTAGATATTGACCATTTGCAGTCCTAACACATCGATGGGAAGATTCAAAGAAACAATACTAAATGAAATTATATCGGTATATGTTTCTATATTAGAAACATCTTCATGAATTATTTGGTTAACATAAGAGGTAACTATAAACTGGGAACTAAAGCCCCCTTTTGATAATGATCATATGCTCACTAGTGACTGGCTGCAGGAGGTATTACCTGGAGTTCTAGTGAGAAGCCGAGACCAGTGGAGTTCAACTAGGTCTGTTGTGAGATATCAACTCACTGAAGACAATGGTGGATGTGTCGCTCATTTCCGTGGATTGATTAAAGTTAGACATTAACATCGTTGGATGCCGGCCAGCTCAGTGGTCCAATGGTTAAATACTTACGCGCGAAATTGATAGATCCTTCGTTCGAATCTTGCGAGGTGGGATAGTGGATGTGCACTGCTGAGGAGTCTCACATTAGGGCGAAACGGCCGTCTAATGCTTCCAGGTTTTTCATAGTGATCTAGCTCCAATTGACTCATCATCTCAACTATACATTAATAAGCTTTTTAAATATTTTAATTCATGAATTAATTGAAGCTAGATCACCATGGAAAACTTAGAAACACTGGATGGCCGTTTCGCCTTATTAACACCATTATGTGCTGGCTCATTGGTTTTTAGAAAACCTGGAAGCTTTGGACGGACGTTTCTTCTTATTGTGGAACTCCTTAACAATGCGCATCCACGATCCCATCCCTGTAGATTCGAATCCAGGACATAACATTTGCGCACGACAACTTAACCTCTAGACCATCGAGCCAGTATCCAACGATGTTCAAATCTAACTTCAACTATTATCATTACTATTATCTATATAATCATTTTAATTATCAGATTTCATAAAGTTAATTTCATCAGCTTTCCAAATCCATCATACTGTTTAATGAGATCAATCCAATAGAATATATATTGATTGATTGATTTGAATAGATGTGAAAGTTTTTCAGATTTCATCTTAGATTTAAAAAACAAAACAAAAGATAATCAAAGATACATAATTCATATTCAATCTGTTTTCTTTACGATAAATCTCATTTAAAATTGACCAGATAAATCATTGATTAAATAAGTATACTATCTATAGTATCTATGTAGTATCCTTGCCAAATTAATCCCCATTGGGAATGATTTATAATTTAAGTTATAAAATTTTTAAAAAATGAAAAATAAAGATACTCTTGTTAGTGTAAGAATAACATATGAAAAACAAACAAACTGGGAATATGATAAGAACTTATTTACTTACTTACGCCTGTTTACCCTCGTGGAGGAGTATAGGCCGAATATCAGCATACTCCATTCAATTCTGTCCTTAACAATCATTTCTACTTCTTTCCAGTTAACATTCATCCTTTTCATATCTACTTCTATTTTCCGGTGTAATGTGTTCGTTGGCTTTCCTTTTTTTCCATTTCCCTTTCGGAGTATAAGTTAGGGATTGCTTTGTAATGCAGTTTGATGATTTACTTAATTGATGTTCTATACACTTCCAACGTCTTATCCTAATTGCTTTTTCAGATGGAAGCTGGTTTGTCCTTTCCCATAAAACACTGTAGAACATGATAAGAAGAGAGTAATGAAACTGTGAATGACCAAATGTTCTGAAATTTAGACGAAATTTCAGAAAGCATTCACGTATTCCCTGACTGAATTTTATGAATAATGTTAGACAATAAATGTGAAGTTAAATAGTTTGAATCTACTATATATGTTTCAAAAGTTGTGTTGTCCTATCCCAAACCATGCTAACTGATGGTCTTGGAAACAACGAAAAAGTATCTGTTATAACGACCTGTTTTTTCTTTTTTCATACTAATTGGACGTTAATTTACCTTAGACTAATATCTATACTAGATTCCCTTCCAGTGTCTATTCTACACAACTTCAAAACAACTAAGATCAAGAACACAGGATTAACCTAATTAGAACGTCAATATATTTCCACACCAAAACCCGACACAATCCAACAACAATCAATAATCAGTCAATAATGATAAATAATAAGGATAGGGGAATATTTTAACTCATCTGACAATTGTCGAACTATCTATATGTCTGACTAAGCAGATATTCAATCATTATCATTCTCGCCGACATATCAGTATCTTAAACAAAAGACCTACTAACTTGGCTCCATGGAATATATATATCGAATTGAACAGTTGTGGTAACCTATACTCTATGTAATGGGATATTTGATAATGGTTATTTCAAATGATACCAAAGTAATATGTTCTCTAAATAAACTTATTCAGATTTTTTATAGATATATCACGGAGAATATTCTGTAGAAACTCTTGGTTTTTTAAGCAAATTCTTTTTTGGTCAGAAAGGGTTTTGTGGATATTTCAGTATTTTTCATAGTTGAAATCATGAGTCAATTGAACCTAGACCACCATAGAAAACCTGGAAGCACTAGACGGCCGTTTCGTCTTATTATGGGACTTCTCAGTGGCAGTGCGCATCCACGAACCCGCACTCGCGAGATTCGAACCCAGGATCTATCAATCTCACGCCAGAGCATTTAACCGATAGACCACTAAGTTGGCCGGTATCCAACGTTGTTAATGTCTAACTTCAACCGATTCACGAAATTTATCAACCATTTTACCAATGTCATCAGTGAGTTGATAACTCTCAACAGACCTAGTCGAACTCCACTGGTTACTGCTTCTCATTATAGAACTCCAGGAAATACCTCATGGAACCAGTGGCTACTGAGCATATGATCATTATCAGAAAGGGTTTGATGGAGATTTTAGTAACTTTTTATAGAATTGCTTCAATTACGTAATCGATCATTAAAGACCCATTCTCTGACTTGATTATATCAATAACTCTTTACAGATATCCATTTTTTTTTTAGAAAGATGTATCATAATACTTTTTATCTTATTGAATATTTGAGATTATCTTGATTGCGTGATCCCTTTATTATTGTCTTTAAATTAGGTCGATATTTAATTTTTTTCACCCCTGTCACAAACTTTATCATTTACTGATGATTTGAAGAAGAAGAAGAAGTAATAGAAAATAGTTGGGTGTGTCAACTAACAAAAACAAAGATGATGATGATGATGATGATGATGATGATGATGATGATGATGATGATGATGATGATGATGATGATGATGATGATGATGATGATGATGATGATGATGATGATGATTTGGATGATGATTTGGATGATGATTTGGATGATGATTTGGATGATGATTTGGATGATGATTTGGATGATGATGATGATGATGATGATGATGATGATGATGATGATGATGATGATGATGATGATGATGATGATGATGATGATGATGATGATGATGATGATGATGATGATGATGATGATGATGATGATGATGATGATGATGATGATGATGATGATGATGATGATGATGATGATGATGATGATGATGATGATGATGATGATGATGATGATGATGATGATGATGATGATGATGATGATGATGATGATGATGATGATGATGATGATGATGATGATGATGATGATGATGATGATGATGATGATGATGATGATGATGATGATGATGATGATGATGATGATGATGATGATGATGATGATGATGATGATGATGATGATGATGATGATGATGAAAATGAATAGAATGGCACCAACTAGTTTTTATTGCAAACACATAAAACTAAAATGTATTATTGAACAAAGAATCCAGTTGTTAGTAGTTAACGCAGAAGTTTATTGGTAGAAGGTTGAAGGCGCCCCAAATTGACATATAACATTAGTCAGTGATTGTGAAATTAAACAATGTTAGGAGATGGTAAGCAAAGATGGATATTGACTAGCAGTGGAATCCAGTTTGACGCGCGTTTCGTCCTATTGGGGACTCGTCAGCTGGATATACCTGCATCTCAGAGTTGATATTCACTCTGAGACTCGAACACAGTACCTTTCGCTTCAAACGCCATGGCGTTATCCACTCAGCCACTGAGTCCTGATAGCTATTTGCTTGTGCTATGGGTAGAAGTTTAATTTCATTTAGTATTGTTTGTTTGAATCTTCTCATAGATGTGTTAGGACTGCAACTGGTCAGTCTCTAATTGGCATACGTGTAAACTGCGTGTATAGTCTCGATATAGCCTTAATTCAACAGGTATTGTAAGCAAAGATGAATATGCACAGTATGCACATATGCCAATTAGAGACTGACCAGTTGCAGTCCTAACACATCTATGAGAAGATTCAAACAAACAATAATAAATGAATTTAAATGTCAGAAGATGCCGATTTGCAAGTTGTTCTTTTCTAGATCTATTCTCTGTATTTAATTTTCCGTATTAGTGTTATTACTAGTGTTTAGAACTACCGAACGTTTCTGTTATCGCTTTCCGTAATTATAATGTAAACTAAGATCAGATAGACTGATGCATTGATAAGTCTAATTAATTGAACGCTATACTCGGATCCTAAGCCAATCTCGTAACCCCCAAGCTAGAACTACACAGTGACTTGAACACGAGGGAAAAAGGCACAAAATATACGAGAAGCACTTTACTCCAAAGGTTCATTTTATGTACAGAAAATATAGGGTTTAAAAGTCCTTGGGTTTTCCTGAAAATTCTAGAATACTACTAAACATAGTAGCAGTATAGTAATCAGTCAATCAGAAACTCTACATGTGACTTTTCATTTTCGTGATGTTTCTAGCAAAGCTTCTAGTCAAACGCTGATTGGATAAAATGTTTCTGAATGTTTCCTGAGCTTGCCGTGTCTGTTGGGATAAATTTTCTGGATCATCCCAACATGCACACCTTTCCCATGTTCTTATATTTTTCATTATTGATTTAATTTGTAAGCTCAAGTATGGAAACCAACAAATCGATCATCCTACTTTATATAAGAGATATATTAGAAATTACAATGAGATTATTCATTGTGATTACATCTCAGTCCTACAGGAGGTCGATCGCTACCTTAGTACCTCAGTGGTAACGTCTCTGACTGTGAAACTGAGTGACACAGGATAGAATCCAGTTCCCTAAACATTACAGGAACACCCTGCTGACGAGTGCGAAATAGCACGAAACCCGAGTCCAGGGTTTCCTGTTGACCACCTGCAACTACCATCTTATTATTTAATCTGTTTGGAATAGGTGTCGCACGCAAACCAACAAAATCACTTCAATCAATCCTATGCAAACCAAAGAACGAAATGACAAAAGAAGACAAAATTGAACATCATCTACAAAATAAACTGTTCCAACTGCGAAAAACGCAACAACGGACAATGTGGACGTCCCCATCATCTTCACCTGCACAAATATCAATTAACTGCCAAAAAACCACAACATATCATCACTTATATAAATGAATAAGGACAATTGTAGACACACTTCACTAGAAAAGTGATAAAATCTTTGATATAGCGAATGCCAAAAGCACCAGAACAGTTTTAGAAGCTCAATAATAAAGTCAGTCAGCAATCAACAAACATATTGAAATCGATCCAATCTATCAACCAGTCTGAAAACTCATGGACAAATCTAAGACCAAGAATCAGATCATAAGAAGATAAGATCAAAGTAAAGAGATAGACAACGATAAGTTTTAAGGTCAGTAATAACCAATCAATATAGTGGTCAACAGTGCAACCTGTGAGGCATATGTAGAGAAATTAGAACACCTCCTTTCTACCTGAAGTTTGTGCTGATGATGTTGCTCAGAAGAACAATGACCAAACACCAACAAACCATTCAGCTCACAGAAAAAAACTCCGACTAAACTCGTACTTACTGATTGTTGAGTTTTGATCGAGATCATGAATCGATCAATGTTAGACCACCATTGAAAACTTGTAAGCACTGGACGGCCGTTTCATCTTCATCAGTGAGTATCCACGTTCTAACACGTGGGATTCAAACCAAGGACTAATTCATAGTTCTAATCAAACTTTACAGAGAATGTTGCACATAGTCATTTTATATTTTATCCAATTATTATTCCTTGTGCCATATCAAACGAATTGTTGCAGTCGTCTGTGGAAATCTAACTTTCTGTTACTCTGTATTTTTGATGTGTAACTTACTTACTTACTTACGCCTGTTACTCCCAATCGGGCATAGACCGCTGACAACCATTCTCCAACTAACTTTGTCCTGGGACTTCCTTTCTAGTTAAATCCAACTTTTGCTCATTCTTCTCATGTCTTTCTCCATTTCTCGAAGTAATGTGTTTTTTGATCTTCCTTTTTTCCTTCGGCCTTCAGGATTCCATGTGAGGTCTTGTCTTGTGACTCAGTTTGGTGATTTCCTTAAAATGTGTCCTATCCACTTCCATCGCTTCTTCCTGATTTCTTAAATATATAATTAAATCCTTCTGCTATAAACAATAAACAAAATACAATAATAGACTCACTTGGCTCTGTTTGCTTGTATCTTCCCACTGTTGTTTAGGAATGAAATTGATCCGTCTCTTATTGACATATTTACATCCAATGTGATATGCCTCAGGATTGCCTTAAATCCACCTTTGCTTAGAAACTGAATTTAAAAAACTGAATTTTCTTAACTGTAAACATATTTGAAAGAGGTTTTTGTGGAGGTTTTAGTAATTTTATATAGTTGATATCATTAGTCGATTGAAGTTAGACCACCATGGTAAACCTGGAAGCACTGCTTGATGGATGTTTCATCCTATTGTGGGACTTCTTAACAGTGCTTCCAGGTTTTCCATAGTTTATTGTTAGGACTAGGAATTAGATTTGGGGGTTTTCATCACGAACTGACATCAGCTAAAATATCAAGGTGTTATTAAGTCAAATGGTTGAATAAAAGTTTTAGGCCAAAATTCAAGATCTAATATCCTAAATTTGATTGGTTCATCCAAAAATTATAGTTTCCACCTAGTAACTATTCAACTCAATTCAAAATACAAATATTGATTGACATTAGTCAATCATTTTTTTCTGTGTGATTTTTCTCTAGGAAACAAAACATCCCCTATCATTAGTTGTTTACATTTCCTGTTTATTTGTTAATAATTTATTATTGATGAAGACTATTTACAAGGGTCTTTCCGGAAAAATGGAATTCATCAAATACGTTCAATATAGTGACTATACAAATGAGATTGTAATGTAGGGAACGAGAACACAAGGGGGGAACAATCAAATGTAATTGGATACATAATTGTAGAATATTTTCAGTAAAATCTGAGAACCATACAGTAAACAACTCATCTGCAAAATGTTGATCAATTGTCTTAGAATTTATTTTCTCTGTTCTTATTCTTTCTTCTTTGATCTTTTTAAATTTTTTGTTGGGGACGTTAGATCCCTAGAACTCATTGGGAAAAAGTCCTAAGTTTGTAATTTTATTCTGAATATTTAAATTTTATTTTTACTCTCCAAGAAACGTTTAGTTAACCTACAGACTACAGTTCCCACTCCTTGACTGTCATTGGTTGACAGATTCTTTTACGTACGCTATTTTGTGGTTCTCCCGATAGCATTTCTATCATTGCATAAATAGCCCCCGAAATGCCCTGGTACGGCCGAGAGTGGGGAGAGTCTGCTCTCTCCAAATGCTCTCATATGGCCACGCGAATATATAGCCTTTATCAGGGAAGTCCTACTCACTGCCTTCTTGTGGAGGGGGTGTTGTTCACAAAAGTGAGATGACGAAAAGCGAATGTACGGCGCTTTAACTGGGTTGGTGGACATGGAGGGTCCACCGAGGGGAGTTGGAAAACCCTGATTCCAAACCAATGGTGCACATGGTCTCCAGTATCCTGAGGGAACAAATGGCGTACGAATCAATCGTTGATCACCGGCTACCATGGGACTGCATCTCCTCACGATGTTCCACTGCCTTGTGGATCAGATCTTTCGGTCAAAGGCTCCGGGTGTGGGCCCCTAAGAAAACCACCTGCTTCAGTTCGAGCACCTGGGCAATATCACAGCCATCAAGCAAATCGAATGAGATTTGTGTGGCGCATATGTATCTGGTGCTTCCTTGTACCAATATTTATGTGTTTAAATAAAATAAAATTGTATGAATAAGCTTGATTTGTGTGCTTAGTGACCCCGTAATTAGTGGGTGCTTGCAAAATACATTCTCTCCGTTTCATCTAGACTTCTTGATTTAGTTAGTGAGCACGGGAACAACGGATTAGAATAGCCTATCTTGTCACTATGTCATTGACCTTCGTTTCTTTTACCAGGTAAGGTTAACTCTTGATAGCATCAAGCTTAGCACTATCACTACAATTAGGATACATGTTTAGAATTAATAAGCATCGAAGGTAGTCTACCTTGCCAATTAGTGGTCAGTAGTTAGATGTTAGCAATTCAAGAATGGACATCTGAATACCGTGTATTCTTCACCATACATACTACCAGTAACCACAATGTCTCTGATTGGACTCTTTTGTAACTTGTACAGCGAAAGGTCGTAAACATTTCAGAAACTCTCCGGAATAGATTATGTGATTAATAGAGATAATAATGTTATAAAACAAACATGAACAGATAACTTGTTGAAATATCTAGATGGAAGTAATGGTTTGAATACGTGTTCAATAGAAGACAAAGATGACTAGATTCATCCGTTCACAGAATTAACAATTGAATTACTCATCTTATTTAACATAATTAATTAATTCCCTCATCTTTTAGACTATAATTCACTTTTTAACAATTGACAACATAAAAGACAGGAAAATATGGAATTTTGACAACTTATCACAATTGATTAATCACTGGGTAGTGGCCAATTTCATGCGTGTCTAGTCTTTCTTTATGCTGATCGAATGCTATCGATCAAGTTATAATGTGGTCACTAGTCTAGGTGGTTCGACACTTCGTGCACTATGTTGAGATAAGATGGTGGTTGGAGGTGGTCAACAGGAAACCCTGGACCCAGGTTTCGTGCTACTTGCCACTCGTCAGCAAGGTGTATCTGTAATCTTGAGGAAACTAGTGCTGCCTGATGGATTCGATACCGTGTCACTCAGCTTCACAGTCACAGACGTTACCACTGAGCTATGGTGATGATGATGATGATGATGATGATGATGATGATTATGATGATGATGATCTTAACCAAATACACTCATTTAAATATCAACTTTACTGATAAATTTCAATGATGAGTCAACGAATGTCAGTCGGAGCTAAAACAACTTACTTACTTACTTACTTACGTCTGTTACTCCCAATGGAGCATAGGCCGCCGACAACCTTTCTCCAACCCATTCTGTCCTGGGCCTTCCTTTCTAGTTCTATCCAGTTTTTGTTCATTCTTCTCATGTCTGTCTCTATTTCTCGGCGTAATGTGTTCTTTGGTCTTCCTCTTCTCCTTTGACCTTGATGATTCCATGTGAGAGTTTGTCTTGTGACGCAGTTGAATGATTTCTTCAATGTGTGCCCAATCCACTTCCAGCGCTTCTTCCTGATTTCTTCCTCCACTGGATGAAATCTGGTTTGTTGTCTCCCACAGTAACTTGTTGCTGATAGTATCTGGCCAACGGATCCGAAGTATCTTGCGTAGACAGCTGTTAATAAACACTTATATCTTCTGGATAATGGCTTCCGTAGTTCTCCACGTCTCTGCCCCATACAGAAGAACTGTCTTGACGTTTGTATTGAAAATTCTAACCTTGGTTTTGGTTGACAATTGTTTTGAACTCCAGATGTTTTTCAGTTGTAAGTATGCTGCTCTTGCTTTGCCGATCCGCGCCCTCACATCTGCATCTGATCCACCGTGTTCATCAATGATGCTGCCCAGATATGTAAAGGTTTCCACATCCTCCAAAGCTTCTCCGTCAAGTGTAATTTGATTGGTGTATATTTTATTGTATCGGAGAGTCTTGCTTTTCCCTTTGTTTATATTGAGACCTACTGCTGCTGAGGCTGCTGCTACACTGGTCGTTTTCTCCTGCATTTGTTGTTGCGTTTGTGATAGAAGAGCCAGGTCATCTGGGAAGTCTAAATCGTCAAGCTACATCCTGCCTGTCCACTGTATCCCGAGGAGCTGAAACAAACAAAGTATAAAAGTAGGTTTTACACAGAAATTCTGTAGCGAACAAGAACACCAGTGTGGATAATCGAATGTATTTGAATACAAAATTACAGAATAACATAGTAAAATCTGTAAATCATATAATAAATAACTCATTTGCTAAATGTTAATCAATTGTCTCAGACTTGTTATGTCTAATAATCACATAACCTATTCAACAGCGTTCATGAAACGTTTATGACCTTTCTCTGTACAAGTTACAAAACAGTACAATCAGACATATCATGGTGGCTGTCAATATTCATTGAGAAAACTAAACATTATTCAGATGTCGATTCTGGAACTGTTAATTTCTAACTGGTGATCACTAATTGACAAGGTGTACTGCCTTCGATTCCTACCAACTCTAAATATATATAGTAATTATGGTGTAATCATAATTCAACAATCTTGGTTGAATGATTTACAAGACGATTGTTCAGTATCATTACAAATTTTGATACGTTGTTAGGATTGATCAAGAAATAAGTAAAGGAAACTTGTTGAAATACATTGTATTGAGAATTGTATACCGTACCAAAAAATAAATAATATTGAACAAAGTCTTTAATAATAATAATAATAATTGTCAGGATGACTCGTTAGAAAACTCAAGGAAGCTTCAAAAAGTTCAGAAAGAGCCGAAGACATTCCATCCAATCACTACTAGAGGAACATTTTAGAATGTTGACGTGTAGCTCTCCTATTGGTTAAATAAGAGGGACCCCCTATATGACCATTGGTTATCCGAAATAATGATTTACTTTCAGCCAAAAACTATAAATACATAAGATTTTTGTACTATATTTGACACTGTTTGAAATAACATTCCTTCTACTTACTAGTCTTCTGTTTTCTTCTCATTTTACAACTTGGGAGGCTTCTTGCGTTTGACTACTCAAGTATTACGTGACATACTAAGAATCTAAGTTTGAGATATAATACTACTACTACTACTACTAATAATAATAATAATAATAATAATAATGTTTGAATCAATGGAAACTAGACCACCATGGTAAACCTGGAAGCACTGGACCGCCATTTCATCCTATTGTGGGACTCCTTAGTGGTAGTGCGCATTCACGTCCTTGCCTTGCTTCCAGGTATTCCCTGGTGGTTTAGCTTCAATGGACTCACGTTTTGAATTGTGAAAATACTAAATCTTCACAAAAAAACCCCTTCTATTATGAACATTTAGTATACACTCTCATTTCTTTTTTACTTTATCATCATCATTCATTGTTCAAACTAACTTTATTACTTTCTTCTAAATATAAGAAAAATTTTATTCTCTTGTAAAGTTTTTTCTTCGCTTAGTTTCCCCCCCCCTTTTTTTTTCAAGAAAAAAAAACTTTGCCAACGAATCTTCCTTTTCACTTTTTTTTGATTGTTTCTCCTGATTAATGACATACAATTTGCGTGACGTACATTTTGTAACTTGATCTTTTCTCTCTTTTCCCTTTTTTCTTGTTGTTGTTGTTGTTGGTGGTGGTGGTGGTGGTCAAACGGAAGATTAAATTAAAATTGTATAAAAGTTTAATTCATCTATTTGTGATCCGTTTAAATAGAATTCTAATATACAGAAAGGTAAAAGTAAAATTTTCAAAGGCAACACGAACAACACTAATTCAGTCACACTTGATGGCGAAACTCAGGAAGAGATGAAAACATTCATGTACCTGGTTAGCAGCATCATCAATGAATAAGTAGGATAAGATGCAGATGTAAAGCTGAGGATTGGCAAAACAAGGGTAGCATTTCTACAATTGAAGAACATATGGAACTCAAAACAATTGTTAACTAATTTCAAAGTGAGAATCTTCAATACGAACGTCGACGCAGTCAGTTCTACTGTACGGAGGTGAAACGTGGAGAACTACTACATTCATCGTCAAGAAGGTACAAGTATTCATAAACAGTTGTCTACGCAAAATACTCATTATTCACTGACCGGATACTATCAGTAACAACGTTTTATGGGAGAGGACAAACCATCTTCCATCTGAAGAGGAAATAAAGAAAAGACGTTAGAAGTTGATAGGACATACATTGAGGAAATCATCAAATTACATTACGAGCCAATCCCTAACTTTGAATAGTGAAAGAAAACAGAAAAGAAGAAAGTCAAAGTATACATTACTTTGAGAAATAGAAGAAGATATGAAAAGGATGAATGTTAACTGGAAAGAATTGTCGAGGTTAGGGTTGAATGAAGAATATTGGTGGGCGAGCTATGTTCCTCCACGTGGGGTAACAGACGTAAGTAAGTAAGTAAATATAATTCTATTTGCATATTTTGAAAAAAAAAATAATCATCAAATTTATTGATAATCTTCTCAAATTATATAATAATGGTTCTTCAATTTATTGATTTTTTCAGATGATATTTTCATCTCACAATCCATGAAGATTGAATACTTAAAAAATGAATTCTGATTAATAAGATCTATTCAACAAGTTTCCGTTTCTTACTTCTTCGTCGTTATTCACAATAAATATTGAGTGATTGCCAGTTAGAAGTAATCAGTCTTGTCAATCGACATTTGAATGATGTACATTCTTTTCGGTGTATATTGTCAACAACCACAATATCTCTGATTAGGCCTTTTTTAAATTTTACATCAAAAGGTTGTACACTTTTCAGAAACGAACTTGAATTGGGTTGTACGATTAATAGCCATAATGATGTATTAAAGAAAACATAATTAGATAACTTGTCGAAATATCTAGATGACAAAAACAGGTAGCCCAGATTTACTTGGTATTGTTTGTTTAGATCTTAACATTGATAAGGCGAAAGGTACTGGGTTTGAGTCTCAGAGTGAACATCAACTCTGAGATGCAGGTACATCCAGCTGACGAGTCTCAAATAGGACGAAACGAGAGTCCTGGATTCCACTGCTAGCCACTATCCATCTTTGCTTAGGTAGCCCAGATGTTTAGACAGACCGCCACTTACTATGTATGTCATTATCATTCTTGAAATTTATAATTTATAATTTCGCCTTGAATAAAGTTTATATCAATTCCAATTTTGAAATGTACCTAGTGAAAGGTTAATTAAACAACTGAGTAATTATACAATAATCTTTATTACAAATAGATACTAGCTGAAGAACTATTCAAACAATAGTGAATGATGATGTTTTATCCCATAAATTCAATTATGAATGTTCATTAATGAACCAAACATTTTTTTGGTACTCTCTAGTACATCTGAAGAAATCAGGAAGAAGCAATTGAAGTGGATAGGACACACATTGAGCAAAGCAGTCATCTGTGTTACAAGTCAGGCCTTCACATGAAATCCTGTAGACCAAAGGAGAAAAAAAAAATACCAAGGAACACATTACACCGAGAAATGGAAACAGATATGAGAAGAATGAATAACAACTGGATAGAACTAGAAAGGAATGCACAAGATGGGATGGGTTGGAGAATGCTGGTCGGCGGCCTATGATCGATTGTGGGTAACAGGAGTAAGTAAGTAAGTAAAGTAAGAGACTGATCAAATTAAGTCCTTAATGTTAATAAAAAGAAAGATCAAATCTTCAGATATATGATTCAGTTATTTAATTTTTATGAGGATGGTCCACAGGTGAATTTGAGGAAGCCCTAAGAAGCCCAGAAGGAGCCCAATATATTCCATCCAATCAGCTTTCGGAAGAATATTCTAGAACCACTACGTGTAGCTTCCCTATTGGACAATGCTGATAACTCCCTGTGTGCCCTTTGAATAATTATAATGATGATTTCGTTTCTACTAAAAACTATAAATACCTGACAGTTTTGTACCATAATCGACACTCTTTGGAATAGCATTCCTTCTACTTGTCTTCTGTCTTCTGATTTGTCGCTTGGGATGGTTCTAGGGTTCCAGTGCTCAAGTATTACACGACAGACTAAGAATGTAAGTTCGAGATATAACAATTTTAATCTTGAGACTTGTAAATACAATCTATGCTTTATCGTTGAAATGTTTGAATATCAAGTTAATTCATATGTAGTGAACGAAAGAACAAGTGTGGACAACCAAATGTATTTGAATACAAAATCACAGAATCTGAAAACAATATAGTAAATGCTTCATTTGTAATATGTCATTCAACCGTATCAGACTTGATTGTTCCTTCATTTCTACACCAATAATTCTGTGTTCTTGTTCTCCTTTCTTCGATCTTCTTAACCTTCTGTTGCCAGGTATTTCATTCTTTAATGATGTAACATACTACTTATATTTATCGACATCAGTAGAACACATCACACATATTCAATAATGTACTCTTTCAACTTCAAATATCTCATAGAATAGTCTTAAAGTTTCACCCTATTCAACACAATTCACATAAAAAAATCACTTCTTTTATCAAATATCAAAGACATAATGCTATAAAGTGTGCATACCCAGTCGGTATATCGATTACTTGAGTGCATACCTTCCCAGTTGATATATATGAGGTTATGAGACAGTCGATTAGACAGCAGTGTTTTATCGATCGCCCAAGGATACACAAAATGCCGTATGAGCAGTCGTGAGTACTTATCAGTCCTGTTATCTGCCTAGCCCAGCTGGTTAACTCTAGAACATTAATAACAGCATCTGCAATATGAATCATTCTATTTCAAACATACTGAGTTTATATATCAATCAAACTGATCACATCGTACCATAAAAAAGAAAATAACATTTGTATAAGAAGGGGTTTTTGTGGAGATTTAGTATTTTTCATAGTTGAAAGAGTGAGTCAATTGAAGCTAGACCACCATGGAAAACCTGGAAACACTGGACAGCCTGGTGGTCTATCGGTTAGGGGCTGCGGTTTGAGACTGGTAGGTCCTGGATTCGAATCTCGCGAGTGCGGAATCGTGGATGCGCACTGCTGAGGAGTCCCATAATAGGACGAAACGGCCGTCCATTGTTTCCAAGTTTTCCATGGTGGTCTAGCTTCAATTGATTCACGCTTTCAACTATTTGTAAACGACCCGGCTAAATGTGGCTGTTAATAGGGGGAACAGTAATTAATAGACTAGGGATAACTCAGTAATGTTAAATCGTATAATAATAGTCTATAAGTCAAAATAAAGCCTATAATAAGAGGGACACGAATATGAATAGTTTAGTTATTTGGCAATTATAAAATAGTAAATATACATATCATATTGGTCCATAAATGGTCCTCAAAGTTACCCTTCATAATTGTCTTCAGGATATAACACATAAAATATTCCTATTTTGAAATTTGATCTAAAAGGATATTAAAATAACTCATTTGTTTCGATTACAGAATAACAGATAAGAACATTAATCTAAATTATAACGAACAGTTTCTCAATATTTGGGCTCCAAGTTGATGTAAGACATTAAATAGGTAGGAGATAGAATCCTAGAAAAAGCTTGAACCAGTTTGCCAAGGAAAATTTAGATTGCCTTCAAATTCATTCACTGAGATTTTCACAAATATCATCTTATATAATGTCTTACTCATTTTATAGTGAACAAGAACAGGAGAGAGGACAATCGATAGCATTCAATCAGCACTAAGAAGGACTTGACACTCATAACATTGATTACCACTCAGTGATCAATCAATCGTGATTACATGTCAGTCCTACAGTAGGTTGTTCGGTCAGTGGTAACGTCTGTGATTGTGAAGGTGAGTGACATGGGATCGAATCCTTCAGGGAGCACCAGTTCACTGAAGATTACTGGTACACCTTGCTGACGATTGGCAAGTAGCACGAAACATGTGTCCAGGGTTTCCTGTTGACCACCTCCAACCACCATCTTGTCTTAACAATCGAATGTATTCAAACACAAATTACAGACTATTTCACTGAAATCTGATAACCATACAGTCAACAGTTAATTTGCAAAAATAACAACCATTTGTCTCAATCTTAACTGTTCCTTCTGCAAATATCAGTCCATCTTCTTTGATTTCATTGTTCATACATTTTCGTACCGTTTGAATTTCATTCCCGTTTGTTCCTTATCGATCTTCTAATGAAATACATTCTATGTCTGACCATCACCATATACTACTTATATGGATATAAGTAGACTACACTACGGTTTGTTTTTATTTTTTTATTTTTTTTTTATTTTTTTGATAAATTTGAAAGGAACCCAGTTAGATCAAAGTTTTATTGCCGCTTTTATTTTTTTAGAAAAAAAAAACGAAAACAAAATCAATCATAAACATTTATTGATGGACATGGATAATGTAAATAATAAATTAT